AACACCCAGAACTTTAAAAAAAAATAAAAATCAGCTTTTGAAGGTGAGCCAGCTAAGCCTGTAGGGGAGTGTCTAACCTCTTGATCTTATTGTGCAACATTCATCTAAGAAATGTAAGAAAATTTCTCCTGCAGGCAGGATTACAACACAGAGAGGCCAAGCTGTCATTAAAAGAAGAAATAATTTCAAAGGAAACCCTCCTGTCTTATACCAATCAGCCTTTTAAGGGGAGAATTGTATGCCACTAGAACAGATTGAAACTCTAAACCAGGACCACATCCGTGGTCTGGTGTCCCGTGGAGGGCCATCAGCAAGGAACCCTGTGAGGCTGACAGGGCAGCGGGCTGCCTGCAGTGAGCTGCTGGTGGGGCCACCCAGTAGGGTTGCCAGATGGTTTAACAAAAAATACCAAACACCTCTCTCCCCCCCCCCCACTCCCCAAAAAAGAACACCACATCGGAAAAAAAATTCTGTTGAGGAAAAAAATGGGGGAGACCAAAGTTGTTAAGGGGGAAAAAAGAGGGGGGGCGCTGCATCTTTAAATGACCCCATGCACCTCACTCCCCCGCCACACGTGGCAGGGGAAAATTTTCCCACCAGGCTTCCATCCGAGGGAAACAGTAAGTACTGGACATTTCCCACGTCCAGTATTTTCTGTTTTTTTACCAGACGGGGAACCTGAATAACGGACAGTCCAGGCGAAAACCAGACACCTGGCAACCGTAACACCCAGGGAGTGGCAGCGGGGCTGGGAAACCTGGCCCATGGCTGGCTGCTGGGGCTGGGAGCTGCAGCAGCAGCAGTATATGCCCAGTGTGGCCCAGAGTCACTGCACATGGCTGCCCACAAGGGCCAGGAGCTGTGGCTGCCCAGTGAGATTGGGAGCCCCGGCACACAGCTGCTCAGCAGGGTCGGCAGGGAGGCAGGGCCAGAAGCAGTTGGGAAACCAGCCAGGAGGTCAGCGGGCCTGGCCAGGGTTGGGAGGCAGGTGGCAGGGGGTCAGGAATGACCTCCCTTGGTTCGGCAAAATCCCTCATCCTGGATCGGTCAGGTTCCAAGGGTGCCGGACTTAGGGAGGTCCAACCTGTAGCATATTATATAGCATATATGAAAGTAAAAAGCCTGATCCTGCAAACATTTTTGCATGTGAATCTGCATTTATGCCTATAGGCTCAGTGGGATTGCTCACATGAGTAGAATTAAGCATGGGTGAGAGTATTTGCAGTATCAGCAACATTTTAAATACTATTTTGGCAGCTGTGAGTCTTCTGTTCCAGCTGCTTTTATTTTTTTTCTCATATGTATGTAATACCTATGTTCTTCTGGCAAATTGATACCTGTTGCTTTGTCACATTAATTTTACAGAAGCCAGTTCACAATATACCCCGCTTGGACCCTTCATATTATTTTACTTCCTATTTACTGCACACTTTTTTGGGTTTGGGAGCTAGTGTTTCATTTTTCCTAGAAGAAGGCTCTCATAATACATAGCAGTGGCAGCACTCCCAACATTGAGTGTGGGTTTTTTCCACTGCTGGCAACTATTGTAATTAAAACACCTACCATATCTAGGTATTATAAACGAGACATTATCCATGAGCTGCTAAGTGGAACATCAGCCTACACTGTGCTGATTTTTAAAGGGTTATGAAAGCAGCAGGCTAGACAAACAATCCTTCTCTTTGTAGTACAGAACAGCAGTTTGCGTGTTTTACTCAGAATAATACTTTTAAAATCATTGGCATAGTCTGGTCATTTTTCTCTACACAATCCCAAACTCTAGTAATAAGGACTGGGACCATACAGAGAATATGGCACTGCTTCCTTTGACTGACAGTCTGGACAATAACACAATTCCAAATGTTAGTATTTTTCACTCCTGTGAGAAATTCTGCTGTTAAATGCGGAAGAAACATAGTAACAAGAATCTCTCACCTTGGTGTCTGTACTGTATGAGGGTAATTTGCAAAATTTTCTGCAGTGAAGGTATTGTTGGTGCTTCCCCCCCCCCCCATTGACAAGGAAGGAGGGAGGGGAGTGGATATGAAAAAGATGTCCAAGAGAATCCCCATTGTGACCTCCACTAACGGGCACCAAGCAGAACTTTAGTGCCCACACCTGCATGACCCCAGAGGTATACTGCCTTTCCACCTTCAAGGGAAATTCAGCCTTGAACACTCTGGCCTTTGCTGCTAAAAGGCCCATCCTGTATCTGCAGGGAGTGACTCCACTCTTTGAACCATGCACCATTAGCTGCAAGATGCTTCCCTATGTTCTTGTCTTTTTTAAATAACTTGTGAGAGTTTTTGGTAATCAAGAAAATGAAAGATTGATGCACTTTGGAGTTGGTGTGGGGAGGGCAGTCAGGGCATTCACCCAGGAATGGGAAATATAGATTCAATTGCTATGTGACTTTGGGCAAGTCAATCACTCTATGTCTTAGTTCTCCATTTGTGAAATAGAGCAAAAATCTCTTACGCAAAAGGGAAAGGAAGAGGAAATGCAAATGAGAGCACCCCATTTGCATTTCCTCTTGTGGAAGAGGCTTGTAGTGTAGACGTAGCCTGAATGCCTCACATATATGGGCAACTGCACCCTCCTAGCACCTTGATAGGGTGTATCTAGATTTAGAAAGAAAATAAAAGTAAGAAAAGGTGAAATTTCTGGAGAACACCTTTACCACCCCCACTACCTCCCCACACATGACTGCACATATTCCAAAAATAAAAGGAACTTACTGTCTCATACCACTTCTGTCTCTCAGAGCCACCTGCATCCTCAGTTTGGAATTTCTTGTCAAGCAGGGTATATCTAGCTTGCTTTGAGTACCTGCCAAAGGGAAAGAAAATGAAGTGATGGTAATAATTATACACTGGTACGTACTCACAGGCCCACATGTGACAGGGTAGTTCTCTTTGCAATATCAGGCTATAGCTTCCAATGCTGCTTCTAAAAAACGAAAAGCAGTGCATCCAAAGGGCCATATACTCCACCCATAAAAGTCCATGGGAGTTGAGTGCAATTATAAGATATTAGGAGGCATTGGACCAGTTTCTCAGATAACAGGAATGGACCTAGTACCTGTGTTGTTAGCATTGGTGCTATGCCAATTTACACCAAGAGCTCCTTTGTCTATATACAGAACAAACTAGATTCTCAGTACCTTTTATTTGCTTTTTTTCTCCATTTCCTTTGAGAGTAAATATGTGAATCAGTAGTTTCCTGTTAATTTTTTGCCTGTGTAAAAAAACCTTGAATTCATTATCCCTTTCTGGGCTTTAGATCCCCACCATGTGATTCAGATCCTTCTGTCTTTCTCCTTTTACATACTATTTGCATTGTGTTACAGTAGCTCCATAGTTGGGGAGGGAGCCTATCACTCAGTTGATCTGTGTGTTTGGTTACATTATGGAACTCTTTTTTTTTTTTTTTTTTAAGAATTTGTTTACCCTTTACCTTTTTATGGCATTCTGAAATGTATATAATGAGAGAGCAAGAAAGATGAATAAACCTACCAGCCCAAAAACACGTAGTCACTTCTGTTAACATTTCAGCCCCTGAGGCACTTTTTACCTGCTTGTGCTACTGTCTGAAACAGTAAATGCCAGATGGAGTTCTTTGATCATTGTTCCCCACTAGCTACTTATGTCTCCTGATTTTTTGCATTGCCTTTCATGAATTTCAAATAAAATTGATTTCAGTCGTTTGCCAGTCCACTCAGAATGAAAAGCTGTGATTTGTTAGCATAGTAAGATCAGCAGTGCAATATTTGTCCAGTGAAGCAGTATTAAATGAATCATTAAACATCTGACATGCTCAGTTAAAATTCCTGGTTAAATTTAAACACATGCACTACAATATCATAGATCACGGTGCCTTTCCTTCGGTGCATGATACACTACCCTGCCAACACTGCAGAGTCTGGGAATTTGTGCTATCAGTTCCATCATATTGATGCATTAGAGCTAGTATAACTGAGGATAGCGGAGTTTGAGCCTTCCTTTAAAAGTTACCAAATTTTCACTTCTGTTCCACAGCCCATTCAAGTCAATGAGTGTCATTAGTTTCAATGGGTTTGGCCTCGTGAATTGATTTCTTGTTGCCATTTATTTTGGCTATTCTAGGTTTGCTGTGGAACTTGTCCTCCAATGACCAGCTGAAGACCCTGCTGACCCGAGACACTCTGGAGCCACTGACAGAGACCATTCTTATCCCCTACTCCGGTTGGCCAGATAGAGATTACCCAAAATCGAGTATTGTATCTGACCCTGATATCTTCTACAATGCCACAGGATGCCTGAGGTGAGCATCTATAAATAAATGCTACTGATGATAAATGTGTCTGAACACTCTGACCCCTGCATCCTTCCAAGCACAGAGGGAAATGTCTTGTTTTCAGGCTGACACGTTGGTCATATTTTGAAATGCCAAACTAGTGTGCAGCCAAACAGCTGCTGTTGAGTATAATACAAACAGCTTTATTTGTAGAATTCTGACAACCCTTTCCAAAGAATGCTGCACAGGCTACAACATTTCATTAGCAATAACCAGTAATCTAGTGTCGTTTTACCAGCCTTATTCGAGTAGCCACATTGAAGTGAAGCAGGAACTATTGCTGTGGCTTGCAGAGTTGAGCCCTAAATATACATTATAATATTAAAGGCCATTTAAAAAATCATAGGTGCACCATGACTAAGTCTGTGCAGGGGAGGGGAGAATCATTTAGTCCAATACAAGACGATTGTTTGGAAGAAAAAAACTGCAAAAAAACTTTTCCAGGCAGTTTTGAAAAGTGTAGAGAAAGGAATAAAGAAGAATATCCAGCAAAAGTGGTCTTGCAAACCCAGGCCACAGCAGCAAAGTTTTCTCCCCTACTGGTCTAAACTGTGGTTGATGAAAGGTAGTAATTATCTCCATCAGGAAGGGATGTCAGAGCACATGTACCTCATCCACAGAAGTACTGCCTCTGACACAGCTAACACATCACTTGCAGAATCAATCCCTGTTTAACTTTGTTTAGCATAATTTATAGGAACAGCGAAGTTCTCATTCAAATACCTAAGCACTGTACACTTGGGTGTCTCACAAAACCATGTCTGCTTTTTTGCTGTCTCCCTCCCATACGCACCCAAAATACTTAACATACTTGCACTTTACTCAGATATATATCAGTACTCCTGGATAGCTGGGTGGGTTTAGGATTGCAATTAATGAAGCATTGCTATTTGGAAAAGGAATATTGCAATGTCTAGTGATGTCTATGGAGCATAAAAGTTAAACCAACAGGATGGTTTAGTAATTTTTCATTGTGCTAGAATGAAATATTGTTATGGTAAGTACTTATAATTTGTAATAAAGTGTCCTTAAGACAAGTTTCCTTGTATGTATGTAATAAGCATTCAAGTGTCTGATATATTAATTCCTTGATTAGAAAGTACAGGTTGAATCTCTTTGGTCCAGCACCCTCAAGACCTGACCTGTGCCAAAACTGAGATCTTGCCGGACCACAGGAGGTTATTATTATCTATCAGCATTACCAATGCTTCCATTGCTTATTGGGCTCTTAGAAGACATTTAGGAGTAAATTAGAGCTAAATAACAGCACAGAACAGTAGGAGCCAGGTCTAGTGCCTGTAATTAAACTTTATGGGACCGCGGGCAACTTGGCCACACCCATGAAAAATGGATATTTGGCTAACTAAAATCATTCCTGACCATGGATGTTGCTGGACTAGAGTACACTGGACTAGAGAGGTTCAGCCAGTAGCTTCTAATAAAGGTGAAACAGAATTGTATTGTGGCATGGATAGCTACATTGGGGTAGTTTCTTAAGATACTGTAAACAAGGCAGAAGGCTGCCTGTTATATTGATTTCATTATAGTGGAGGCATTTTCTGAAATTCTGGGTTTGCTGACAGCTCCCAGGCAAGACTTTATAGATGCCAGGCAATGTGGTCACATTTATAATTAATGAAGCTGAACATATGAAAAAAAATGATTTATGCAGTCTTTGTAGAAGGGGTTCCAGGTACATGAGCAATTCAAGAGCTTCTACAGAATTTGCTCCTCTGCCTCCCCAGCTGTGGTGGTAACACTGTGAAGGTGAAGGATTTCAGGTACACAACTGAATTATTTATGGTCTTCAGAGCTGACCAAAATAATTATATTCCATGCTGCTATGTTGCACCTGCTTGAGTGAGACTGGATTCTGGGGGTCCACACACACAGAGCCCACTGAAAAGAATCACCATAGGTAACAATTGAATTTGAGAACTCAGCAACAAGGCACTTAGGTTCTGATCTTTTACTAAGTAAAAGGGGCCTTTCAGTGGATTTTAAGGAGCCAGACTCATTGAAGAACCAGATGAGTGATTTACAAACTGCTCAGCTTGGGATTGTGAAATAGACATTATTCAGTTATAGTAATTTTACATCAAACATATTTACTGATAAATGTTGTAGCACTGGCTTTTTACTTGTTACTGACAACATGGATGAGATGCCAAATTAGTCTGTGAAAGGCCTAAGTTGTGTTAGACTTGCAGATTAAAACTGGACAGTCAGTGAACACAGTTGTATTCCCCTCTCTCCTTTCAGTCTGCAGCGTATGTATTTCTTTAAGTCTGGTATGTGATGCGCTGAGATTCATCTCGATGGTGGAGACTTTAAAGACATGTTTCCTCATCTGTAGTTGAAAATAATAATCGGATTGCTGATTTGTAGATTTCCTTTGGGATACTATCAGGTGATCGTTAAAGAATATATTTAATTTGTACTCTCTTCTTTGGAGCCCCTCACTATGATATCTGAGGACTGCACACACATTACTGAATATATCTGCACAGCATCCCATGAGGTAGGGAAATCTCTCCATTTTACAGCAGGAGAGTCTGAGGTACAGAGGTTAAGTAGTGTGATATGCCCACATTCCACAGGAAGACAACAGAAGAGTCAGTAGTAGACCCTACTCTTCCCTGGTCAGTATCTTAACTTATAAGACTCTCATTTTTATCAGCAGTGTGAGAAAGTCCTTATACTTTACCTGCAAAAGTCACTTTAATTATTTCAATCCTCAAGTTGCCATTTTTGATTTTGCAACATCAGCAGGATGACAGTGTTATCCTAAAACTCTGAGGGAGTTTTTCGAAACTTTCAGTTTTCTGAAATGACACAAAAGTGGTGGGTACTTCAGAGAAAGGTTATATGACTGCTTTATGCCTTCCTTCCATTAGACCTGATCAATACCCAGTGAATGCCTGTTAACTTCACTAGATATTCAATTTGCCCATTGGACATTGAAACTGAATGGAAACCACCAATGGAATGGCTATTTTTGTTTCTACACAGCAAATAAAATACACTAACATTTATATTGTGGAAGCATTTGTGGGCTCCAGCTGAGACTGAGGATCTGTTATGCAAACACATAGTAAAGGGTAGTCACTGGCCTGAGGACATTAGTCTAAATATACAAAACAGAGAAAGGGTGAAAGGGGACAGCGATGGGAAGAGAGTTGTTCAAGGTCATACAGAAGGTGAGGAGCAGAGCTGGAAACCGAACCAGGGTCTCTGGACTCCCAGTCCATAGCCGTAGGACTTAGTAATGTGTAAAGGTTGTAGTGGTACAATCTCTAAGACAATGCAAGAGGGTAGCTGACACTTATTTCTGTTTAAGCTTATTTCTATTTAGTTAGTTTGATTAGAAGCTGACTTAAGCAAATGTGGCAAAAGCAACTTTTAAACTGAAGTATGAGTGTCCACGTACCTCTTTCCATCAGTTTAAATATATTGGTTATACAATCACATTTTACGTTAAACCAGTGCAACTGTCTCATGTTGACAAGTCTCTGGTCTCTGCTCCCCATTCCCTTGTTATGATTTTGGACAGGTGCACTATACTCGCAAGAACTAAACACAAATGTGAGCACAGGAGATTTGTGGTTTTGCTAATAGGTCCAAGAAGGCATTCAGTAGATCAATGATTGCAAATAATTAAAAGTCAGTTATATTTGAAAAGAGCATAGCTGTAGTTTTGGACATGCCTCAGTGGGAGTCCTTAGAGCTGAACATGAAATTTATAGCTTGCAAAGCTGTCCTGTTTCAGCATGCAGAGGTGTTTTTTGTCAACACATTTTCTATGGTTTGGGCATAGAGAGCTCCTTTAGTGGAGTAGTTACATATAAATTGCATAAACCACTGCTGCCCCTCAAAAGGTATTGAATAAGCCATTCTCCCTTGTCAAACATTATGATTTTACAGTGCACACATAGTGGAGGTTAAAACAGACAAATGTTCAACAATGAAGATTCTGTTCCCAAAGGAGCACTGCAAGGCCACAAATATCCTAACTACTAATTAATTTTGCTTCTAAGGAATAATTAATCAGTGCATAAGGCAGGACGCTTTATTTATTTGATGGATTATAAAACCAAAGATAGACAAACTACTTGGTATAAATTTTTGTGTCCTAGTTAATGTCTACCATCAGATACGATATGTGGAATTAAAGATAACCCTGGCATCTATGAACGTGCCAAAGTTTTATGTATGTACAAAGAAATAGACCTGTTAGTTGTGCCCCTTTACAGCGGGCATCTGTCATTTTAGGTTTCTTTAGTTAAGTACTTACATATATGTCCTAGAACAGCCATTTACTAGTCAGTCAGATGAAGAGGCACAAAATTATTCCGAGTGCTGGCAGGGAGCTAGTCTTACAAAGCTTATAGTGGTGACTACGTCTTGAGATGTGCTTAGTAAAAAATTTAAAATGACAATGGGTGAACTGTTTTGGATCAAATATAAATGGATGTTGAGTCAAACTCATCCTTGGGAGTTCAGAGGAATTACAAAACCTGTTAAAATAGTCAAAAGAATTTTAAAAATTCTTTTTGTTTGCACTCTTCTGCCCTTCCCGTTTTGTGAATGAAATACCATGATAAGATGTATTTCTCACCAAAATGAAATCACGAAGTACTGGAGAACTGATGAATAAGGCTGATCTGTCAGGTTATGCAACCCAGTTAGTGGGAACAAGAAAAGACTCAGATAAGATTTAGGAACCACTCCAAGCAAAGTCTTATAAAATTATCCATTTTCAATAAAGAAGAAAGAGAAATGGTCTGATTTCTTTTTCTCTCATACTTTAATGCTGTTGTTCCACAGGCTACAGTGAAATTACCCCTGCTGTGTAGCTGTAGTAAACATGAGAGAATCTGGCTCTAAGGAGACTAAAATCCAAAAGAATGCTACAGAAAAGTGATCCAGTGAAAAACAGGGCACAGAAAGTGCTTTGCTGGCAAATA